GTGTGTGTGTGTGTGTGTATGTGTGTGTGTGTGTGTGTGTGTGGGTTATTTAATTGATCAATAATTTGAGAGGGGAAACACTGAGGAACCTGGTTGAATGGTGTATTTTGTACAGAGAATGTATAATTTAAATCAATTGCCCCAGAGTTAGCTAGCAGCTAATTTGTATCTGTCATCACCCTGAAGGTAATAAGAATATTATTGCCGGACTGATACACTGATCCCATCTTATATCAATCTGACTGAGGCCTTTTTTATAAAATACTATATCTTAATTATTTTTCAAATTCTGTTAGAATTAAAGTGCTCCTTACCACTGCAGAAAAAATATTTTTGTGTTATAAATAGATAACACTAATAAAAACAGTCGACATCGTTATTTCAAAGGTCACACATAGAAACCAAAAACTATAGAAATACACATGATAAACCATGAAAAACCATAACCATGAACCAAATTTGTTTCTGTTGAAACTGGCCAAGTAAAACAGGATGATAAATAATAATATGAAATAATAATAATCATGAGACGTTCTGGTCTTCAGAGGATTTCTGCGATCACCACCACCAGCTCATCCCATCGCTGTTTCTGTTGCCTAGGAACTGAGCTGCAGTTGGACTCGTTTAGAAAGTTTAAATGCCCCTTGGTTTTTTTAACATGTGTACCATTAGCTGTTGAGTCGAGTTGAAGCGTGATACCCAAACATAAGAGGTCTTAGTACATTTTTGAAAAACAGTTTGTCAATTCTGGCGTAGTTTGTGTTGGGAAAGATCCGTCCATTGGAGCCTTAATTTCTCAGGGATGGAGGAACACGTCTCAGTCTTGTTGTGCTGCTGTGATGCAGATAGTCCTCGAATGCAGCCTCCAACAGATGCAGCCCCTGAATTGAGACACAGCTTATAAAGCATGGACAATACATGGTCATGTCATCAGTGTGAACATTACGTTAAAACATGAAAGTCCAGTAAATTCAAGTCCTGTCTGTTAGAATTCCATTTCCCCACTACTTAAACCCAGAAAGCGGATTGACCAAAGGTGGTCTCTCTAAACTTCGACACCCAGTCACTCCTCGTAAATGCTTTATTTTCTACCGACACTTCACTGCTCTGATAGGTCAGACATCGTCTGTTTCACTACACCTCAAATAACGTCACAGGACCAAAATATACTGAATAAAGGAAGGAAAACATAAGCATCAACGCTGCGTAAATAGCAGCTGTCTTGGCTTGAATTGTTGATTGATGATGGTTATTCCCTATTTCAACAATGACAGTGCAGATGATGTGACACCATGTTGACATGCAGCCATCTCCAGTGTCACGTCGCTAACATGGCTATAAATCATTCACAAAATGGAGAAATGTCATTTTATGGGATGGCCCTATTGGCAGGAGAACAGCATTCATAAAGCACATGTTGTGTTTATGAACATAGACATGTCCAAAAACTCTCTCACTAAAACCAGGTTATTTTATAATGAACTGATTTACAGGTCCCTGAAATATGCATGATGTCATTGTCGTATATTGGGGTTGCGATGATGTGAAGATGATGAAGGAATCTCCGATGACACCGTCTTGATTGTATATAAAAGTTTAATACAAAAAGTTCAGCATCAATACAAGCAAAGCAATCTGCCTGGAGAGAGATTCGGGGCCAATGTGAATCTTCT